AGGTTCCTCACGCCCTGGTAGTTGTGCCAGAATGGATTTTGGTAAGGTGGGAAGGGAGGTCAGGAGACCACCAAAGAGCTGTCCAGGAAAGACAGAATGATGAGTTGGAGTAAGAAGAGACAGAACAGGAGACAGAAAGAAATGAAAAGATTCAAGATGTATATACATGAAAAAAAGGAAAGGGAAAGGAAAATGACTGATATCTCTTAGGTTTAATGGCCAGAGAGGAAAAGGTTGGCTTTAGTCACTACATTTCCCTGCTTGAGCAAAGGAGATTCAACAGGGTAAGCTTATTGTTTTATAGTAAGAGAATATCAGGACATCTTACACCCTCAATTTACAAAATAAAGAACAAAGGTCCAGAGAGGTGAGCCAGCTTTTTTAAGCCTCCCAAGAGCTGGCTGTCACCTGCACTCCCACCTTATATTTTCCAGGCCAGGGACTTTTCCATTATCCAGCACCTCCTCCCCTGGCTCATCTCAGTACCTTATTCAGTATCTTGCATGACTTTCTTTGGAAAGGGATTTCATTATATAATTTATTTTTTACTTGTATTTTTTTTCTGAATCTAATAGGTATGAGTGAAGTAATTGGAGATTGCTAAAAAGAGAATGTTTAATATTAGGAGTGTAGGCAAAAAGCTGAGTTTTAAGGGTTGTACTTAGACCATTAATTCTAAACTTTTATTTTGAAACAACAAAAAACAAAAGAAGAAACCTGGAATTAATATTTCCTTCACCTGGTTTCATAAGCAATTCCAATTCATCTTGATTCCCCCATACCAGCATTTTCTCTTTCCTTTTTTTAAAAAATACGGAATAGCTTCAGCTCACTTATTATTATTATAAGTGGATAATCTAATGCAATTTCTGTGTTACTGAAGAGCATTTACTGAATGGAGGATGCCATGGACTAGCTATCAGATGTGGCCAGCTGTAGCAAAGGCTCCTGGAATCATACTGCTGGGACCAGCACTGGGGTAGCAGAGTACAGGAAAGGGCATCTGACAGGTGCAAGTTCAAACCTCGCCATTGACACTTACTATCAGAGGACAAAGTTCTCAACATCTCAAAGCATCAGTTTCCTCATGTGTAAAATGGGGATAATACTACTTACCATTAGTATAACAGTAGCACTACTATAAAGACTCAGTAGGGTACAGAAGCGTGTCCAGCACGATGCCCAGATACAAACGTTGGTGAATCAGCTTTGTCTGCATTTGTCTCTGATGTTAGGCTTAGGAGACCTAACAGGTCAGGGATTTATTTGATTCATCCAACAGCAATCTGACAGGAGGCTCACTAGAGCTCGAGAACATCAGCTAGGAGTCAAGTTTGCTTTACCTTTCTGTTCCAGTATCTCTGGTTGTGGCTTTTGTTCTTGTGATTATAAGATGGGACACTTGTATTAATCATGTTTTTTTTTTTCTGTATTGTTTAGACATCTGAAAAGCCTACTGGCCAGGGAAAGGCTGGCTGTCCCAGGGGTAGCCAAAGCTTAGCTATAGCAAAGGACTTCGTCTAGAGTACATCTTTTGTATGTAAATCAACCGATCCTGAGTCTATAGTCCCAACCACCTTCTTACCTAACTCTCACAAACCAAGCCAGTACTTCCTCTGCCCTAAATCAACCCAGGGATAGATACCAGGCAACCACAGAACACCCTTACAGCCCAGAGCTCAACGGCATTGTACTAAATGGCCACTCCTAGACTTTCTGCTTTTCCTGCAGAAACTCCCAATTAAGACTCTGACCTAGACTTTCTCCTCTTTCCTGTCTCCTGTCTCCTGAGCAAACCTGGTGGTTCCCATGTGATCCTGCGTGGCCTGGAGTGCCCCTTATCTCAGGAAATGTAGGTAACAGATTCTTTCAATGATATTGACCTCTCTGTGTCACTGCTCAGTCTCCTCTATAAATTAAAATTTGGTAGCTACAAATTTTAAAACTGCTTACTAAGTAGGAAGATGGTGTAATAACAAATGAAATGTTCCAAAAATATTCTCCTCTTGAAGCTCTGCTCTTAAATTAATTCAGGAAGGGAAGCCCTACCTGGACCCCATCACCCAGAGCTCATGCACCAGAACTGGGTCACATGGCTGCAGTAAAGAAGTCTGGGAAGGTGAAGGTTTTTGAACTAGGCACTTTACTGTTCTTCAAAACATAAGGATTTTTTTTTAGGAAGGAAGAAGGTGAAAATGGATTATTGGGTAGGCTATTAGCCTTGTCTGCTGAATATAGTAGTGTTAACCATAACATTTAAAAAGGATTGAGCTTTTCCACATTGTTGCTGTTTATATTCACAATCAGACTATGTTCAGCATTCTGAATGACCCACTACATATAAATCAAGGGGTAATATTTAAGCTTCTATAAGTTAGACAAGGTGTAAGGTCCTATGTAGGCTAAAAATTCAAACATTTTGCATGATTTCAAAAACTCCCATATTGCTGCACTTAACAAATGTGTATGTGAAATTAAATCAGCTTATTTCATATTTTAATGAGCATGCCTTCATTGTAATTTTTAATCTACTGAGCAAATAAGCAAAAAAGTATCTTTACTAAGGCACAGAAAGATTAAGCATAACTGTACATTTATGTTAAGGTGCTCACAGTAGCAGTTATAAATTGGATTAAATAACACCGATGTAGCAATTCCTATTCCTCATTAATCTGTTTCACAAATCAAGCCATAAAAAATTTTTTTATAGCCAAGAACTCAACTCAAAAAAGATCTTACCTTACAGTACCTTAGTGGAAGTTCTGAATATCATCTCTGTGGCCTCTGATCAGAATGTAGGTGCTAGAAGAGAATAGGAAATTGGAGTTAACATTTGGCCAGGACCCTGGGAAAGAGAAAGTCAATACGTCATACAAAATGATTTGAGGAAATGTAAAAAATTACAGAATTTTCTAATGAAAGTGATCATGGTGCCCAACCACCTCATGTAACTGACAAGGATGTGGGTGGTCAGAGGGTTAAGGTACCTGTCATGGGAGAAAGGAACACATCTACCAATTTTATACAAACGGCTCCTTCTATAGTTCCACTCCTCATACCTGCCAAAGCTCTAGTCACAGTGAAAGGACATAAAGTGAGAAGAAGAGAAAACAGAAGTTGCTTATCCCTTAATTTTACATGATAGAACGCCTCACATTTTTAGCAAAAGGGAAGTTAGTACCTTCTACTTTCAAAGAGAAGGTCGTGGGAATAGACTCTTAGAAGTCCCAGTCCGCTTCTGCTCTCAGACACTATGGGACGTTTACACAGTTATCTTATGATCAATCCAGTTCTCATATGAGAGCGATTCACATCTTAAAGAAAAATCTTCTACCCCATTTCAGACACTGACATTCACATTTTAAAAGTGTACAGAGCCTGAAATTCAGCCCAGAACCTTAGGAAAGCATCTCTTTTCAAAGGCTGACCTAGAGAAAGAAAAAGAGGCACCAAGTCGCATAAGGGGAGGATGAAGAAGTGTGTCCTGTGAAAAGCGTCCCTGAGGAAAGAGGGGCAGGAAGCAGCAGTGCAGTGCAGCCGGAGGAGTAGAGGACGAGACCTGGGAAGACGGCGTGGGATTTTTAAAAGCAGGACTTTGCAGTGTGTGCAGCACAGTGGTGGGATATGGGATAAGGGGGCGGGGACAATTATAAGATGGGACACTTGTATTAATCATGTTTTTTTTTTTCTGTATTGTTTAGACATCTGAAAAGCCTACTGGCCAGGGAAAGGCTGGCTGTCCCAGGGGTAGCCAAAGCTTAGCTATAGCAAAGGACTTCGTCTAGAGTACATCTTTTGTATGTAAATCAACCGATCCTGAGTCTATAGTCCCAACCACCTTCTTACCTAACTCTCACAAACCAAGCCAGTACTTCCTCTGCCCTAAATCAACCCAGGGATAGATACCAGGCAACCACAGAACACCCTTACAGCCCAGAGCTCAACGGCATTGTACTAAATGGCCACTCCTAGACTTTCTGCTTTTCCTGCAGAAACTCCCAATTAAGACTCTGACCTAGACTTTCTCCTCTTTCCTGTCTCCTGTCTCCTGAGCAAACCTGGTGGTTCCCATGTGATCCTGCGTGGCCTGGAGTGCCCCTTATCTCAGGAAATGTAGGTAACAGATTCTTTCAATGATATTGACCTCTCTGTGTCACTGCTCAGTCTCCTCTATAAATTAAAATTTGGTAGCTACAAATTTTAAAACTGCTTACTAAGTAGGAAGATGGTGTAATAACAAATGAAATGTTCCAAAAATATTCTCCTCTTGAAGCTCTGCTCTTAAATTAATTCAGGAAGGGAAGCCCTACCTGGACCCCATCACCCAGAGCTCATGCACCAGAACTGGGTCACATGGCTGCAGTAAAGAAGTCTGGGAAGGTGAAGGTTTTTGAACTAGGCACTTTACTGTTCTTCAAAACATAAGGATTTTTTTTTAGGAAGGAAGAAGGTGAAAATGGATTATTGGGTAGGCTATTAGCCTTGTCTGCTGAATATAGTAGTGTTAACCATAACATTTAAAAAGGATTGAGCTTTTCCACATTGTTGCTGTTTATATTCACAATCAGACTATGTTCAGCATTCTGAATGACCCACTACATATAAATCAAGGGGTAATATTTAAGCTTCTATAAGTTAGACAAGGTGTAAGGTCCTATGTAGGCTAAAAATTCAAACATTTTGCATGATTTCAAAAACTCCCATATTGCTGCACTTAACAAATGTGTATGTGAAATTAAATCAGCTTATTTCATATTTTAATGAGCATGCCTTCATTGTAATTTTTAATCTACTGAGCAAATAAGCAAAAAAGTATCTTTACTAAGGCACAGAAAGATTAAGCATAACTGTACATTTATGTTAAGGTGCTCACAGTAGCAGTTATAAATTGGATTAAATAACACCGATGTAGCAATTCCTATTCCTCATTAATCTGTTTCACAAATCAAGCCATAAAAAATTTTTTTATAGCCAAGAACTCAACTCAAAAAAGATCTTACCTTACAGTACCTTAGTGGAAGTTCTGAATATCATCTCTGTGGCCTCTGATCAGAATGTAGGTGCTAGAAGAGAATAGGAAATTGGAGTTAACATTTGGCCAGGACCCTGGGAAAGAGAAAGTCAATACGTCATACAAAATGATTTGAGGAAATGTAAAAAATTACAGAATTTTCTAATGAAAGTGATCATGGTGCCCAACCACCTCATGTAACTGACAAGGATGTGGGTGGTCAGAGGGTTAAGGTACCTGTCATGGGAGAAAGGAACACATCTACCAATTTTATACAAACGGCTCCTTCTATAGTTCCACTCCTCATACCTGCCAAAGCTCTAGTCACAGTGAAAGGACATAAAGTGAGAAGAAGAGAAAACAGAAGTTGCTTATCCCTTAATTTTACATGATAGAACGCCTCACATTTTTAGCAAAAGGGAAGTTAGTACCTTCTACTTTCAAAGAGAAGGTCGTGGGAATAGACTCTTAGAAGTCCCAGTCCGCTTCTGCTCTCAGACACTATGGGACGTTTACACAGTTATCTTATGATCAATCCAGTTCTCATATGAGAGCGATTCACATCTTAAAGAAAATCTTCTACCCCATTTCAGACACTGACATTCACATTTTAAAAGTGTACAGAGCCTGAAATTCAGCCCAGAACCTTAGGAAAGCATCTCTTTTCAAAGGCTGACCTAGAGAAAGAAAAAGAGGCACCAAGTCGCATAAGGGGAGGATGAAGAAGTGTGTCCTGTGAAAAGCGTCCCTGAGGAAAGAGGGGCAGGAAGCAGCAGTGCAGTGCAGCCGGAGGAGTAGAGGACGAGACCTGGGAAGACGGCGTGGGATTTTTAAAAGCAGGACTTTGCAGTGTGTGCAGCACAGTGGTGGGATATGGGATAAGGGGGCGGGGACTGGATGTGAATGCTTCCAGGGGTATCGGGGAAGGTGTCCTCAGCAAGGAGGAGGGGAGGAGCTTTAGTGCAGCCTCAGAGTATGCAACAAGGCATGGGCAGAGGTGGAGAGACACAATTCATGATTAGAAGATGGATTTGTACTTTGCATGTCTTTTTGTAAATATCAATCTGCAAAGGTTTAGGAAAAAAGAAAAGAAAGAAAAACATCAGTCCTTCATCAGTTTGAGAAGCACTATCCTACAGAGCATGGCCTCTTTGCCACCTCAGTGTCCCTTTCTCCTGCCTTGAGAGCCTCTCCCTCTCAGGAGCTCTGCTGGGACCTGCTATTGCTCCTAGTGTTGGCCTATCACTAAAGGACTGTCTCCCTTTTTTGGCAACAGGAGGGCACCTGACCTCTCAGAGATCCCCGGGATCCCCTGTCTGAGGAATGTGTCCTAAGGAAGCAAATGCTGGAGCTCGTCATCTCATGAGATCCATTCACTCGGGGGAAACTGAGGTAGAGGGTGTGAGTGAGCAGAGGTCACTTGGATCCTGGCTGTCTGATTCTTTCCATGAATTGTCTTGACTCTTAGATACTTGTATCTTTTCAGGAAATAGTATCTATACAACTGGAAATTGAAGATAAAATTCAACAGTATTATTCCTCTCATTCCTTTTAGGGGAAGTGATGGCTAAGCCATAAAGCACTATTTCAGTGGGAAGACAACCATATCAGTCCCTTGTCTCGATCGAGTAGGCATTTTCTGCCTTACGGCAGGGCAGGCATGCCAGCAAGCTAGAATTCATCTTTCACATGGATTCCTTACTGAATCTAATGAGCCACAGAGTGACTGCTCTGTGAATTCCACTAAGTGCTGGTCCATCCTCTCCCTACAACCTACCATGTGTATGGCACATAGTAGTTGCTCAATAAATATTTGTTATATGGATTTTATTACTGAAATTAACAATTATCCAGTGCAAACAATGCAATTAGGAGTCCCAACATATCTGTGTATTGATTCAAATCATTTAAAATAAGCAATATTTCTCAGTAGTATAAAATTAAGTTGCACCATTAGTGATAAAATAGAACTAAATACTATGCAGTTAAAGCATTTATTAATAGAAGTATCTTATTCACATATTGAACTGGAGAACAGTAACTGAGATGGAGCATGCTGAAGGGTCTCTAGGTTTCTCCAGCAAAGCATTTAGACTCAGCAAAGCATTCCATTTTGAAAACCAGTGAGGGAACTGGCTTTCAGCCTAGCTTCAAATTCATTCTATTGCAAATTAATTGTGCATGATATTCATTTAGGTCTGAGCTTCAAATCTCTGAGCATAGATGACAGGCTCCTCTAAATCCTAGCAAACATGGTTCGAAAGGTTACAGAATCAGAATATGATTGGTGATTCCAGATTGTTGTCATAATTATGCAGTTAGCCAAACAAAGGGGAAAACAAAGCCAGAGACAGAATAATAATTATGGAAGACTAGATGAGAGGCTGCTTTCAATAGGCCAATATAATATTACTTTGATGTAGGATGTATCATTAGAAAGGTAGGATCTTTTGTTGATGTCTTTCAAGTATTTGCTTCTTTATGTCACATTTTTGTGTATTTATAGTGGTGAACAAGGAAGCAGTTCTGGATTTTTAGGATGATCATCTGAATTGTCTCATTTCCTTTTAACTTTCCAAAAACCACATTTGCTTACTTTTTAATTATTTTGAGCATGCATACTGCTCTTATCTCTAGAAAGATGCAAAACATCTGAGTAGATGTTTTAAAATCTAACTGGATGATAAATGAATCTACAGCCATCTGATTTAGTGTTATATCTGCTTACAGTCTTGAAATAAGCTTAATTAACTTTTGTATTCAGCTGAAATTACATCCTAGACTCTTAGGCAGGACCTAGGATATTCCCCTTTTTAATTTCACACTGTATCTTTATTTTTTAACCTGCCTTATCTGAAGACCAAAATAACAGGTGCTTTGATAAAGTTGACCCTAACAATTTGTTTTATGGGAATAGGACAAATACAGTTCCAAAAATGTATATATCACACTAAGTCTGGTGTATTTATTGAATAAATTCTTATTCAAAACCAGTATCACTAAATATCTGTGTTCATTCTAGTGTTGTTTTCTACTATGATTTGTTCCCACCAGAGTCTGACTTCTCATTGTTAAGCCGTCCCATCTAGAGAGGGAGGAAGAGAACTAATTAAAACATGAATTAGTTCTTATGAATGAAATCACTCATTCCTTTGTTATTATTTCCAATTTGCAGGTGAGGCTCAGGATCAAATAACCGTCACAAAGTTGTCCAGTAAGTGCCTGGTGAAGTGGAGATTCAGGCTTGCATCCTTTTCATATCAAATTGCACATGATAGTAGTGGTCACAACAGCACAAAGTATTTACTGAATGCTCACCGCGTTCCAGGCACTGTTCCAAGCCCTTTACACACGCTCAGCAATTTAATTGTCACAACCCTATCCATTGTTATTTGCATTTCACAGATAGACTGATGCCTGCTTACTCTGCGTAGGAGAACCACAGCTCCAAAGGGTGTACTGGGACAAAACTTGATGTAGCTTCATCTCTTGCCATTCACCATTCTCCTTCTTTGTCCATTCCAAGTTATAAAATGAACACAATTCCTATTTTGAATGGGTAGAGGTTCGGCAATCTCCACAATGCTTTTTAGAAGTTGTTGGCCTGTTTTGATATTCAGCTGGCCTTGATTAGAGTGGCACAACAGGAGTTCACAGTGGACACGTACTCTACGGTAGACAGGCTCCAGCTGCGTGTCCTCAAGAATGCTACACTGCAGTGGGAACGGCACATTGCAGTGTCTAAGGAGACACTGCAAACCCTGGATGACGTCCAGCAGGCCAGACTGATTGATGGTGAGCAGAGCTTCAAAAGTCTTCATGGCAAGGTGTACTTGCCCTCACGGTGGTAGCAGACTCAGTGGCTTGTATAAGCTGACCAGCCCTCAGCCAGTGGCTGGGAACTTGGGTAAGGCTTAGTCTTCTGGGATGAGTGGACTGGTAATAGTGAAGCAATTATTCAGTCCCTCACCTTCAGAGGAGGTGAGCTGAGGGTTGGTGGTCGGTGGGTGGGGGGTGGGGGCAGGGGACATCTATTTTCAATAAGAATGAGGAAGCAAAGCAGGATTTGAGGAAGATAAATTACAAACCCTGTCTCAGGAAGACCTACCCCAGACCACTTGGCAGTTACAGTTCCCATCAAGTGGAAGGGATGAATCTCCTTATTTGCTGTACAGACGGAGCAGGCCTGAGTCTTACAGGCTGACAGTTTTCAATTCTTAGAGCTTCCTGAGCCAGACACCAGCAGCAGCAGATACTGAGATTCTTACAAAGTCTCATTGTAACAGTTCTGGAAATTCCAGACAATATCAACAAACAAGTGAAGAGGACAGTATTGCTCTGCATTTCAGTTTTGGCAGAAAGCAGTAATGGGTGAAGAAAACTTTACCCAACCCATGGGAAAGGACTGCTTGTCCATCCAGTCTCAGCAGACCTCATCTCACACGGTGGAGAGAAAAATTGGAGACTACATTCAACCAGACGTACAAAACAATGTGAAGAGGGCTTTACAAATCCTAGCTTTGTAATTTTACCTTTCACTGTACACATACAGAAGTGGATGAAAGGAACTTCACTGATAATACTCATGCTTGTTGGTCAGCTCTTTCTATGATTAGATGTGGCTTTCGTGTTCTTATATATTTCATTTTTCAATAAATCATTAAAAATAAAAAAACGTACTCTACGGTAGACAGGCTCCAGCTGCGTGTCCTCAAGAATGCTACACTGCAGTGGGAACGGCACATTGCAGTGTCTAAGGAGACACTGCAAACCCTGGATGACGTCCAGCAGGCCAGACTGATTGATGGTGAGCAGAGCTTCAAAAGTCTTCATGGCAAGGTGTACTTGCCCTCACGGTGGTAGCAGACTCAGTGGCTTGTATAAGCTGACCAGCCCTCAGCCAGTGGCTGGGAACTTGGGTAAGGCTTAGTCTTCTGGGATGAGTGGACTGGTAATAGTGAAGCAATTATTCAGTCCCTCACCTTCAGAGGAGGTGAGCTGAGGGTTGGTGGTCGGTGGGTGGGGGGTGGGGGCAGGGGACATCTATTTTCA